AGTCTCGTACCCAAGTGTTCCGTACACAGACCCTTAAACTTATTGTAGCTTACGGTGGTACAAACGGTCAAAAGCTCTGAAAATGTTAAGGTATACCACGAAAGTTAATTCTGAAAACTTATGTAATTCACCATTATTTTAAGACGCATACACCTTGTTGATTACAATGCTTACAGTCTCGTACCCAAGTGTTCCGTACACAGACCCTTAAACTCATAAAATGTGTCAGATGACGATATCAAGAGTAACGTCATGGGCACACTTCTGCTAAGGATGCAGAAAATGTTTCTTTCAGCGTGCAATTCATTTGCGTTTTGCAGAAAAAAGTCATACCGGCTAATTTGGCACGAAAAGTATAGCATAGAACATTAAACCTGAATTAGTTAACCACGAAAAGCTTGAATTTTATAGATATTAAAGTGCTACTACTATGAAATTTTGCCAACGCCAATGAGTTTTGCAGCAAAAAAATGACCTAAGTCAGAAATGAATTTGGTACTAGAAGTCCCACAAACAATAAACATATATCATATAATGAAAATTCCTAAAAGCACTGTGACGTGAATTTCAAATAAGAATTCCCAAAGCAGTGTCCTACAGTCTTGCAATTCATGAAAATCTCTATGAACATAGTTTATTAATACGTTTTAAATATAATCTAAATAAAACGCGGTTTTGAAGCGAAAACCTGTAACCGTATCTGCAGGTCGTTTGCCAGTTATTTCCTCACATTTTCAGTTATGCGTTCGTTTGCGGTTCGCTCGCAGCTACTTTGATTTTGTTGTTATCATCTTGCCGTTAGTATGCAACAACGGTCTTTAACAGTTTGATCTGGTAATTTACATTTTGATAGCTTTACATTGTTTAAAGGTCTCCTGCAATTTTTTTGTGCTCATTTCGATTGGTTTTCTGTTGAAGTTTGTTTTGTTGGAACTGATACGATTACAGTATCAACCGATTTCTTGACATACCGTCGTTAATTTTTCTTCATATTGCTTGTTCCTGTTTTTCGACAAGAATTTTTAGGCAGCACTTTTCAAGTAAAATGGGGGATAGCGACGATGAATACCATAGGAGAGGGCGTGACAAATTTACCCGCGAAAGGAATGATTATTCCGATCGCCCACGGCAGAGGGATTATGACTTTGACAGGTATGCTTTTCTTTCTGCATGTTAAATAAGATCGCATGTTTAAACTTCAAAAAATGTAGAGGTGTTCGTTGTTTAATGAATATTTCTCTGGATTTTTATTCGGCTGAGTGACATTATCAACGCAGAATTCAGGTTTCACTCTACGCTTAAAAGTTTTATCGCATAACAAAGGTTTAGTAGGAACTTCTTTTTTTTTGAAAATCTGATTTAATTTTACCTGCTTTATCCAGTTTTAAAGAGCAAGAACTTTATTGGTCAAAACGCTTCCATTATGGTGTGCCTGTTTGACCACCTGTCAGTTTTTACCTTCATTCCTCAGTTTTCTGTTATTCTCAGTTCTACTTTTGTGGGGGTATTGTTAGTTGAGGTTTTTTGGAGACCAGTTAACGAATTTTAAAAAGTTACAGTTCCCTTTATCTCACTCTTCTGAGCTTTTTTTTAGGCGTGGTGATGGACACCAGTACTCTAATGGTTCCTCTTTGAAGCGTTCTTCTTCTACGCGCCGTGATGATTACGGTGGGGGAAATAAGAGGAGTCGCATAGAGTAATTTTTTATTTCTGTTCCAGTTTTTTTGATGATGCTTTTTTGGGATTTTTTTTGGGGCTGTTGCAATTAAACTCATTAAAGCTACCCATTGTAGCGCATCATATCAATTTTTTTCATTTTCTTTTCATCTTTCTTTTCCGTTATCTTGTTTCCTACTTCTCGAATGTGCCTGAACCTTACGGTCCACAGTTAAATTTCACTTTAAAGAGTTTGCTTTTTAGTCGATTTCAGTTTACTGTTGATTTTATTTAAGTAGTTCATCGGATTCGTACGACCCTATAATTCGTCCGGCAGAAGAATCACCTCCAAGAGTAATGATGACATTCAAGAAGTTTTTGGCTACTCAGGACGACAATATTACCGACGAGGACGCAATCGCAAAGTACTCGGAGTACAAGATGGAGTTCAAGCGACAGGAACTACAAAAGTTCTTTGACGCTCACAAAGACGAAGAGTGGTGGGTAATGATAGATTAAGGGGATGGCGGCTATTTTTCAACTTCTGTACTTTAGTATGAACATGCAAAGTTTCGTTATTAGATTCTCAACCATTGCATTCGGTGCGCCTGAGTGTTCTGTCCTTTTTGGTTGTCAAATTTGAAGGTTTTAAAGGACTACTTTTTCTGCAAAGGTTTTATGCGGCATGTTGTTCACAAATTTACCTCATTTTTTGTTTTTGATCTTTTGATTTTCGAAAACAACACTTCTTTGCTACAAGTCACGAGTTTCAAAGTACACCAGAGGCGTAATATGCCGCGGTGCGTGTAACTCCATTCTTAAACCGTTGGAGCAGCTTGCACATACGTCGGAACGATCTTCTTCATCTGAAGATTCTGCCTTGACTTTTCTAATTTTTTCGATTTAGAAAATTTATTTTGACTTTAATTTCACTTCTTGTGTTGTTTTGCGAGTTGTAACGGAACAAGTAATTTTCCTTGCCTGCAGGAATTGTGCGGTGCGATGTTTTGTGGTAATGGATTATTCTCTTCAGGTTCCGTTTAAAATATCATCCTGATGATAGCGGCAAGCGGAAAGAAGAACAAAAGAAAAATTTATTGCGACGGCTGGAAATTTTTGAAGAAATGCAGAACAAAGGTGTCATAGACAAAATCCATGTTGATTTTGATTGTGCTGCTGACATTATACGCGTTATGGACACTTGTTAGTTCCTATTTTCAAGTCTTTTTTTCTTTATTTTCTTTCTTTACCTTTATTTGTTTCACGTTTTGTCGGGTTTTATCTGTTGATTTGCCTTAAATTTGTGGCTCAGGGGACTTGCTTTACAATATTTCATTGGTGATATTGGCTTTCAGTAGTTGTCAAGCTTGAAGGAGGTACTGATGAAGATGTTAACGCATTACAGAATGAGAAGATTGATGATGAGTCTGTTATCGAGTTAGGAAAGGAAAAGAGGTAGGTCAAATGAAGTTCCTCATCCGTCTTTTATTTGATATAGTTAGCTCGGCTGAAGTCTAAGGTTTACATTGCTTTAGTGAAGAAAAGAATGAAACAGTTGATGAAAGCAGTGAAACAAAAAAAGGTACTAATGAGGAACTAACTAACGAAGATGGAGTGGTAAGTGATTCAGACGGCGAGCGGAAGACAGGTAAATTTTTCTACTTATATTATTTCTTGGCGTTTTCAAAGAAAGTATGTTTAAGCTAATAATACAAAAGGCAACTCTTTGTACGCTTTTTTTATGTTATTCATTTGAAGTAGATTACATAGTTTTTATTAGCTACATAGACAAGAGAAGACTGTCTAAACTGAGCGGTTTGGCTTTTTATTTTACCAAACAGTTTCTTAATTGTCTTTTGGGGGTGATAATGGAGCAGTACAATAATCCTATTTGATATTGTTCGCAAGTTTTAATGACGATTTCAGTCAGAAACTTACACATTGCTATTTTGTGTTTGCCTGAATATTTAACTAACTTTTCGAGACTTCCCGTTTGCGTCTCTCAGTTAGATTTTTAGGTGAAGAAAACAACGAAGAGCCAAAGGAAGCAAGGCAGAAGAAGAAAATGTTGTTGCACAAGACTTCAAGCATTTTTCTTCGTAATGTTGCACCTAGTATAACTATGCAAGAAATCGAAGCCGTAGGTTTTCTGTTGAAGAAGATAAATATGATAGGTTGTTTTCTGTTTTTTAAGGAAGGGAGTGGTTTCTTAGGTTTGTATGCGTTTTCCTGGTTTTTTGCGTGTTGGCATGGCCGATCCGTTACCGGACCGAAAATTTTTTCGCCGTGGCTGGGTGACTTTCCGAAGAGATGTAAATATCAAGGAAATATGCTGGAATTTAAATAACTTCAGGGTGACTTTATCTCACTGTTTTGTAATACACTGCCTTTACATATATTTCTTATATATTGGCGTATTTTTCTTCGCCACAGCTAGTAATTTTTCTCTTCTCACGTTATTTCCGTCACATTATTTCCAGGTTCGTGATTGCGATCTGGGAGCTATTGTTAATAGAGATTTGGCGCGTCGAGTACGTTCTGTGAATGGTATTACAGGTCACAAGCAAGTGGCTCAAAATGATCTTCAGCTAGCAGCGAAACTCGTAACTGTTTTTGACAAAAAGGTTCCATTTTAGTTTACACTTTTTTGGTATTTACTTTTTATTTTTTCGAAGCACCTCAAGTATACTGCTTCTTAGGCAAATATTTATCAACCGGAGAAAGAGGAACAGGAGGGTGTTTTTGGAATGGATCCAGTAGGTAGAAGTCGCAACCCATTGCTAAAAAATATAACCGATTTCTTAATTGAAGAGGCCAGTGCCGAAGAAGAAGAGCTTTTAGGCCTTTCTTCAGGTTATATTGAGTGTATTTTTTAAACCCTTATTTTTCGATGCTCCAAAATTTTTTTCTCGAAGTTTTATTCCAAGTTGTTTTCCTGTTTTTCTTGTTTAGGGTTAACATTAACTTTTTTTCGTCTGCTTGCAGTCAAGTTAAAAGTTTTTTTGGCTTTTTTATTAGAAACTTATAGATAGGTGTATCTTACAGCTGGTGATTCTGATGAGGACCAAAAAATCCGTTTTCAACGAGATGATACGTTACTTAAAAAGTTAGATAGGATTATTTTATATTTACGTATTGTGCACTCTGTTGATTTCTATAATCACGGCGAATATCCCAACGAGGACGTGATGCCAAACAGGTCTGTCCTTCTAGTATTAGTTGTTTTGGAAGACGGTCACTATTTTTCTGTTGTAGATATGTTCCTATTCTGCGCACTTTCGTTCTTAGTTTCCCCCTGAAAATTTTTTTGAGGTTTGTTTTCGCTGCAGTTACCATTTTTGGAGAAGAAGGATTTTGGTTTTCTTCACTCTTAATTTTCCCATTAACAGCGTATATTTTGTGTCTATTTGTTATTTTCTGAGGTGTTTAATTTTAGGTGTGGCATGATGCATGTTCGCGCTGCCCCGCCATCTCCGTCTCAGTGGGGTACAGATGAGGGTGGGAAGACTTTAGTCTCTCAAAAATTTGTCAACGACTTTATTGCTCAATTCACTGTCTATATCAACAATGCATTGCTTAGTGAGGCAACTTTAACAGAAACTGATTTCGAAAATCTTGGACAAAAGGAC